TTAGGTGGATTTCCGCGGATCTACTATCTTAGTCGAGGTGTCTAATAATTGGGTTACCCACCCAGGGTTAGCTAAGCGGGATCGGAATCGTTAGTAAAAGGCGAATGCGGTTTCATATATGGTGTCTATATTGTAGATCGGTGTGTATAGTGTGGTTGGATACGTAAGAGGGTGCTGCACTTGCTATCAGATGGAGAAAAGTTGATTGAAATGATTCGATTTTTTGAGAGTTTGATGGTTTAATAATGTCTATGTTATAATTACGTGTCAAGCCTGCTATTAGATTATTTGCATGTCCACACTCCAGATGAGCTAAAGTAGATAAAAAAATCATTTCGTCGCTTCGTTTTCATTCCCATCTGTAGGTAGTTTAGTTGGTCTTCCAGATATGGATACCATGCATATTGTAATAACAACAAAACATTTTTTTTTGGAATCAAAAAAACTATCTCCGTTGTCGAAAGAAAACGACAATTTCATTAATTACTCATTCACTGTGCAGAGCAGTTTGGAGTAAGAGTATTTTCCATTGTCGTTACGTATGCATATCTTTATGTTAATTCATCACATAGTTTGGTAATAATACAAATCTGGGTGTAGAGTTTGTTAACAGTTTAAAAATCGTAAAAACACTGAAAGTGTATTCAATCAAATCCGAGAAAAACAATTTGGTGTATCCTACGGATGAATGAATAATACACTATTTAGAGCAAATGACGAATTGTTGTTACGTCTGTAGCAATTCGTGGTGTAATTGTAAGGTATAAGCTAGGCTGCCCAAAAATCACTAAACTAGTTCATAAAATATAATATTATATAGTTAATTTGCGCGGCTCGTTTGTTTTATAAATATGTACAACACTGAATTGGGTACTATTAGATAAGCGATTAATTTAGATAGAATAATATGAGTACTATGTCTTCAGTCTTCACCTATATTATATTAATCAGCGAGTGACAGTGGCTACTGCCGTAAATAAATTTATTTATTTATTTTCACAGCGTGACTTTAATTTCCGAGGATAAATACTTTACTGAAATATGCAGTAAAATATTTTGGAGACAATCAGAAAGTCTATTTAATAATAATATTATTTCCATGTTTATTATATAATATCTATTATTGTTTACGGTAATTATATATTTTTATACTACCGCGAATCTCAACGCGATAGACCGATTATAGTTTCAGTTGTGTTTTAGAGAGCCGATCGGAACGCATCCTATCCCATTATGTCGTTTAGACCGTTTAGTCGTTACGTTAATAAACCTTGAAATTATGTACATATTATGTATAGTGTTTTTTTTCTATATAGACACTATCATAAATCATAATATGTAGTATATGATATTAAAAATTAAGCAATACAATTTTTTTTAAATTATCATAAACAGCATATTTAACAGTTATTAGAAATTCGATATATTTGCATTGAGTTGAGACTATTATTTTTGCTTTACGTCTTTATTATAGGTACCTATTAATTGGTAAACGAAATGCGACAGATTTAATGCAGATATCTAATTGATGAAATAGTTTCGACGATAATTAGTACTTAATAGGTAAGGTACCTACAACCTATACTATCTTGCTCATTAATGATTTTATTATGAACAAAATAGTGTGTATAATTACCTATTTCAATAATAATTTATGGTTAAACATTACTCGGTTTATAGTTATTGCAAGAAAATAAGGCGCTGTTGAATTATACGATATCGTTTTTCTTTTTGGTATTTCAATAAAAATGTTATTTCCTAAGTAATATTATTCCCATTATACGTACATAGGTTTCATTTTCTTAGATTTCTACATGTGTGCGCTGTGCGCGTGTATCGTATAATTTGAATATTTGATCTCTAATGTTATCTAACTCCAACAACATATTCAAATAGTAAATTAAACAAATTGATAGAATTGATTTTAGTAAATAATATTGAGTTATCAGAATTTCATGTAATACAGGTACCATACTAACCGTAAATCGTAAAAATAAAAATAATTTACATTATTTGAGTTTTGTACATCCATAATTTGTTGTATTGCTGTTAGAAATAATGTTTGAGTAGGCTATTATGCTTGCACATGTATAAAATAAAATAAATGAAAATGACCTGCATGTTTGAATTAATTTCAATTATTTAGTTCAAAAACCATATCCGTAACTGTAGTACGATTTGTACACATTTTTAACCATTATTTCAAAATGTATACCTCTCCCCCCCCCCTCGCCACAACACTCGTTAGATCCTTATTTTTTGTTGCATGTGCCAGTGTCACATACGGCGCTGGCACCCACATTTCGATATTTTTGACCTACAATATTGACAATTTCTAATGTTAATAAATAGCTTAAAAAGTAAAACAATAGTCTCTCGCTTGGCAATTTTTTTTATTTTATTGTTATTCAACGAATGTTAATTGTTGACAATTTAAACATTCTTAAGTTAAAGTTAAATTTTTATTTTTGTATGTGACACAAAATATGGATTAATAAAAGATTGGTGATGTGGGGGAAGGGGAGTGGTGAAAAAATTTGTAAAAATTATGTAACAATTACTGCTGTGGCTTTTTAGCTAAATTTCAAACATGTGCGGGTCACCGTCACGCAGCTATGAATTTAACTTCATCGCCTATTTACTCAATATATTATTATTTAACTATTATTTTGTTTTAGAACAATTTTAAAATATTACATTCAAAGTTCAAACATGAGTTATGAGTATGCTACCCATGTAAATATGTAATGTATTAATGCAATTGTATAATATACAAATATACATTAGATGTAAATTAAAGTTTTTTTGTTTAGTTTTATACAGACCTAGAGACTAAAAATAAAGGCAACTTTACATCCTGCAAGTTTCAACCAAGATGTCAGTACTTTGAAAACTATATCCAGCTGTTCAATAATCTGAACGTTGAATAGTGGATGGTTATTGAACTCGCGATCGACACATTTAAATACCGTCCTCGTTCTTCGGTCCAGATGACACGTGAGAACAAAGATAAGTCTATATTATTATATGTAACGAAACAACGGGTGTTATGCAATTTTGGACTAGATTCACCTGAAGTGACCATAAAAATCTTTTCAAGTATAATTTACACATACAAAACACGCTAAAACAGTAAAAACCTAACCTAACCGGTATGAACACATTATGCAAGGTAGAAGTTTTCGGAATCATAAGGTGAGACAAGACAGTCGTCAGTCATTTAGCAATAAAATACGTCTCTCTATATACCTATTTATTTGATATTAATTTCATCAACAATAAACGAGGTAAACAATTGGCTTTTAATTGGTTGAATTTGTTTGCTTTAACAATTGATGTAACAATTTAAAAATGTAATTAACTAATTATCATTATGTGAGCCGCAAAGAGATACAATTATATAAATAATACAATTTGTTTTAGAAACACAATATTTACACAATATTATGTTCAGTACATGAAATGTTGTCGTTGAAAATGAAGATCAATTATTATCATTTAACCAGCCATCTGTAGTAATAAGTAGTTTTATTCAATGATTACATTTATTAACTAAAAGCTTTTTTTATTCTCTGGTTTAAATATTTGATTTGATTAATGAGTAATGACACAAGATATGTACTGATTTTCTAAATTTGTTATTTTTAATATATGTATATGTAAGAAAAAAAAATTGAAGAATGAATTGTTTGTACTGTTCGCTGTCGCTGATATACCTAATAATATTATTGTCTTCTTCAAATGTTGATCACTAGCTAATATTAGAAAGTGGATGTTAAAATTATAATTCATGTAGAACTTGAAATGAAACGTGGGCATAGGTTATTTCGTTCGACCAATTTTTAATGGATCCATATCTATCACAATAATTCCATATACATACGAGAGTTTGGGTTCAACGTTTCCAAATGATCGAAATGGACGAAATGTATGTAGTATGTACCAATATAATTTAGCTGACTTATATTTAACGATTTTCAAGAGCCAAACAAATGGTATAATAATACAATATGTGTATGTAGCCTGTACATAGGCTCAGAGTGTTGCAATTGTCAGTAAAATAAATGAAATATAACGAATAGACGAACCGGTTGGATGTACTATGTAGGTATAATAGTGATAACCCGTACCTATGCCAACAAGTAATTATTCCCTTCACTCGTTTATAAAGACCGCGAGGCACGAGTCGTTATTGTCGAATTCATGTATATACGATTATTGTACGTATGTAAAACAAGGGGCATGTTAAATATATTACAATTTACAATAATATTATTACGAAGCAGCGTCTGTGATAAGTGTGCGGCGGACAATTTATTATATTATTCGATCGTGTTTTCGTACGTAAAGATCGATTTACGGTGGTACGTCTAACCATAGAATATTGTCGGGCGACGTATGAAATTAGAGACCACTACAAGTCTACAATATTGTGATTTTCCTCCCACCCTCTTTCCCCCACTAATCAGTTTTAACGATTTGTTTATAGTTGATTAGTACATAACGAATAAAACCGATATTTTCGATTATGATAATATAAAGTCGAATTTCCGCCACCTCAATTAAAAATGTGAAGAAAGTTCAAAAGTTGTTGAATTGCGTTGTTTTTATATATTATCTAATATGAAAAACTGTAAAGACCCTCAGAAAATGTGCACAGTTGCGGAATCTCGAGAGATGCGTCAAGAATAATTTTCGCCGGAGGCAAGGACCTGCCACCTGCTACTCGCGAGGTGTAAAAAAATAATTCATGTTTTTAATACTTACCACGCGCCCCTGGACTGCCACTGTTTGCAGGACGAACCAGGTGTATTGTAATGTATATATGAATGAAATATCGTAGATCGCCAAGAATAATGGAAAGGGTATATACACGAGTCCTCCGTGTCGTTTTGTTGTTAGGCACACTCCAGGTACTAGCTATATACAGTGTCATGACTAGCCTACTTTCTTTTGCCGCTGCCGCCGCGCCGTATTCACATCGGAAACCGACCAATAAACCCACATTCGATTTCGTTCATTCGACTTGTCGCCGGCAACGCACGCGCACGCTGCTGCACTTTATTATTTTTTTTATTATTATTTCTATCGTCATTATCGTCAGTGTCGATCATTCCCATCGCATTCCGCGTATTTATTGTACCGTTGTACAGTCCACGCGACCAAGACCGCGCGGTCGACGGTTTTTCTTATTTTTCTTGACGTCTTACATTTTTAACCTTTTCGTTTTGTCTTGCGTCCAGCTCAACCGAACCCTGTGGCAGTGCGCCGTTTGTACTTTTCGTCCACCCCTCTACGTGGATTGACAATACCTATTATACAAGAAGTTCTCTCCACTGCACTGCCGTGATACACCTGCTGTGCTTCAACATTCTTCTTCGAGTAAGTCCACAACTGACATTTTATGTTTCTATCTAAAGGTACTGATCTACTCCATCTATGCGCTAACAATCAACAAGGTATAATACATTATAATAATGTCGTTATTGACTCATGCTGTGTGTGGGTTTTATCTATCCAGTATTATATATTACGTTATTATGATTGCAGTATAAGTATGTATATATTTTTAGAATGGGCACATAGTATAGTATTAAAAGTGAAAACTTATTTGTTAATCATTTTATTGTACCTATAGGGATCAAGTGGATCAACACTTTCGCGCCCGAATAATTATAGCTTCGAAAACTCGTGCCTGTTGCTAATTTGCTTCGTTATATCATTGAACATGCATTAAATATCGTTATATTAAGGTAGTGACCAGACCAACGTGGTTTCGTTGTTGTTTTATTATATTCCAAATGAGACTATTTACATTAAGAAACAAATCATCAAACAAAATATTATGTCTGATCATACATTTTCTAATTAAAGCACTCGTGAAGTAATCAATCATCTGAACTTTCTTAAGGTTTACTAGTTTTTCTTATGGTAGGCGTCGATTAATTTTAAATAAACTAGTAATTTCTGAAAGTCTCGCAGCGGTTGTAACGGTTTTAATGATATTTTTTAAATGGATATCTAAATTGTCTTTAGAAAATGTATTCTTATTTCAAAATGTCAATTTAATTTTATATATTTTTTCCATTTAAGCTCCTGAGCCAACACCAATAATTACTTACTTGTTTTAAATTTTAGTACCTACTAATTTACAAAGAAATCTTATTATAGTTATAGGCTAATAAATAAATAGGCGAAGGAAAATTTAAAGTTGAATAGACATTTAGCCTTCTATTCGTTGTTTTGTATATTTCGTTTGCAAACTTGTAGCAGAAGAACTCGTAGGAATTAATACAACAAATATTTTAAACAACTACATAAATTAGAAAAAAGCGAACTATATCTGTATGAACTTAAATTTTTATATTTAAATACTTAAGTTTACAACAATTGTGTATTTATATTTTATTCATTATTATTCAAGCAGTCTTACATAATATTCTGATTAAAATGTAGAAACTATGACATGAATGAATATAATGAAATGTATTATTATAGGCATTATTGGTATAAGTACCTACTAATAATGATCATGATATAAACGAGTTATTTTCAAAATTGAATTTTCGAAAGAGCACCTGCTCAAAAATATATATTTCTGTTAATTGAAAATGATTAGGTAAGTCTCTATAGATAACAATACTAATGTACCATACCTATTATAGCTATATAGTACCTATAGGCTATAGATTTATTACGAAATGTAAGAAAATCACTGTACTGTATCGTGCGTAGGAATCACGGATTAAAAAATAAAAAAAATACGAACCACACATCTTCCTGATTAGAGTTTACAAGTTGCTGTTACATAAATGAACTGTTTGTTCCGAATTTCTGTTGTAATAAATGAGCTTCTTATGATAAAAAAATAAATATTAATAACTGTATAATTTTCACGGTTCCTCTATTTTCTTGGCATATTAAACCCTCCTCTCAAAAAGTTGGAGGTTTATTTATACTATATGTAAGTATAATATGTAACATGATACATAATACTTAATAGACTTTAACGATTAGAAACACATGAATGTCTAAATAAATATCTATATAATATATACTATACACAGTATAGTATAATTATCTTGTGATATGAAAACTGTGATATTTGTATACATATTATATATCAGGGATGGGCAAACGCTCGAATACTGACGATTTCAAAATCTATCTCCTCTTGTCAAAATTTATTTTTATACGTTTAGTAGATAAGTTATATTCTCGTTTTGTATGTCAAACGTTCATCCGATAATTTGTTGTCAGTTTATCGAGTAATAGGTATAGTTCATACTGTTTATTCTGGTAATTTTATTTCTAGTAGAATACATTTAATTTATAATAAGGTATATAAGAGTTTTAATAAAAAAGTGATGATTTAAATACTGTATGAATAATATATACTTACTATACAATATATTTTATGTTATACTTATTAGTATATATAACCTTTCAAATGTTTGACTCTAAATTTCAAATATTTGATTTTAATATTTGATTTCTCTAGTAGGGTGAATAATTTGAATATTAAATGTATAAGATATATATAATATGCATAAATTAAAGTATAATAATTATTAGAATTTTTAATTGGATACCTAAGTAGAAAGTATCTAGCTTCTTGTAATGGATAACAAGTTGTTTTGCAATAAATATTATATTAGAAATCAATAAATATGTAAACAAACAAAATAGTTAAACATTTTGATACAAATAAAAAAACGATTTTTTAACTAATCACAACCTTCCAAACTATAAAAATGTGGTTCTTAGACTTTGACATGGTACATTTGGATTGTTTAAAAGATATTTAATCAAATTTAAAATGCATATTAATAAATTGTATTATTGATTTTTATTCAATATCAATATAAATAAAGTTTAATAAAAGCAAGTGTGTCGTACTAAGTTTGTTTTTTTATTTAAAACCACGGTTTCTCACCATACATCCTTAATTATTTTCATTACCTAACCATTTAAATGCTTTATACGTGACTGCATAAATTATATAATACCAGTATATTTTTTCCCGTTCCAAGGAGTGAGTGAATTTTCTCAGTGAATCAGTGAAGTAAATATATTCAGTTTAACCACTTGCTTCTACTGACTACCTATACTATGAATACACCTACTTGAATATCATTTACGCTATATTAGCACTTTGTACTTGATTTAACGACTGATAAAATAATATAAATCTGAGACTTTAACTGTGTGTCATTACAACTACGACATGTGAGCTGTAGCGCACTGGGGCCTATAAGATGTATTTTCAGTATAGGAAGGTATACGAAAAAGGTGACAGGTCGCTGATCCGGTACTACAACATCATTATAATTTATAATAGTGCAGTATGGTCTGTATGGAATTTCATAGGAATACGTATTAAAATATGCAAAGCAAATTTAATTTTAATGGATAGATATATCTATAAAATATTTATGTTTGAAAACCTATTTAACTGTAGTTGTATTAGCAGAAATGTAATGCATTTTAGGCGTTAACAACAGTCTAATAATATGTAAATACATATGCAACCAAAATTAAAGTAATAATAAAGAATGAAAAGTTATGAAACAAATAATTTTTTTGTTTAACTCATAATTAGCCGTTTATTAAAATTATAACAATATTTTAAATACTTAATTGAGAAATGAAATTATCTATTTTACATTTTATTTTGAACACGATTTCTAATCATAGTACTGTATAAGCATATATATATATATATATGTATTCGATATTTCAATGCACTGTATAACCTATCGCTCACGTTTATATTTGGAGTTAACTATTATTATTATTATACCAATATGTATGTTTTACACGTTTCAATACCTTTGGATTAATATAAGGTTTAGATGTTCTACAAAAAAAAAAACTAAGTGTGAAATGTTATAAAAATAACGCTAATCATATATTGTATTCCACTCTTTAATTTAACAACGTGAACCCATGAATCTATAATTTCCGAGCCGGTTAACTATACGCGCACCTCGCTGAATTGTCTTGAACCTACCTCCGACGAAATTGCTACATTATTTTAACGTTGATTCATGTAGAGTGTTAAGTACACTAGTAGAATTTCTGAGGTGAAAGCTTAAAGAGATCAAATAGTTGCTTAAAAATGACTTACTTTGTATCCATATGTATAAAATATTGACACAGCAAACAAAACACTATTTAACGAGATATTAACATGTCTGTTATATTGCATCGTAATTAATCGAAATACGAGGTCTTCGTGGATCCCTTGACATAAATTGGAAGCATACCTACATTTGGCGTTATGGTCACATCGTCGAATTAGGCACCAATTTACGTGACCAGGATGTTCGCTAAATAATATACAATCCGCATCGGATATAGAACAAGGTGAAAATTATTGTCACTTTAGAAAATCACTGAAATTCGTCGATTGGCATTTCAATCAATGTAGTGTGAGAGTGTGTGCTTAATGCGCAAGATGAATAATGCCTACCTACTATTAATACACAACGCACGTGATTTTTATTTTTTATTTAATTTTTAAGTGAAACCACTTTTCTTCTGTCGTTTTTCGTTGTATTTAATATATTTTTTGTTGTATTTATTCTATGGTTTAGAAATACGTCAACGGCGTTGTGAACATTTTGAATCGTGCTCATATTTGATACCATTTGAAGGATTTATTTTTGTTATTGTAGATAGTGTCAATGAATAAAACATTAGTACCTATGTACCTATTTAACTATTATACTTAGTTAAATATATTTGATAAAAAAAAGTTTAACAAATGATCAATTTGATGATATTATTTCTGAATTATTGTTATAATTTGATTATCGTTAATCATTTCGAATGTTTAAATAAAATATTTGAGGTATTAGGTACCTTAATTTTTATAATAATTATATAATATTATTATCCAGCCTACTGACTATACTTATAACAGTCAACAGTTATAAGTTATAACATACCTACAACTGTATAAGTACTTGCATGTATTAATATGTAATCAATTAGATATTATTTAGTCTTATATATCTTATAGTGTATCTATTGTCATTTGTCACAAAAACACATAACCGACATCTATCGTTCCAGCTTTAGCTCGTTTTCGGATTTTGGACCAAGATGTAGATCATTTATATGTAGTAGACGTATTAAAATTATAGTACTGGCGTCTGAACTGGGCACCTAACCGTTTTCAATACACTTGTGCGCTGTATTTACTTCTGTCAATCTGCGTCATGAACAGCAGCTATAAATAAAATTGCAATAATAATAAACGCTCGTAATGCATAGGCATGTATATTTTTTCACGTTACAAAATTGTATCGGGAGGCGAAAAAACCCGATGTAAACATTACGGCGCGAGAGTTTTTTTCGAACATTGGAAGGTCAAT